CATTTGAACCGTCCTTCAATTCTTTTTTTTTTTGTCCATACTGGTTAAAATATGTTCAAATTTTATTATTAATAATGAGGAGTAAAAATGTCTCTATGAATTAAAATAGTAATATATAATTAAAAATTAAAGGAAACTATTATAAAACTCAGAAAATTTTAAAAATTTGAATTTCACTAGCCACATGGCCTTTTTTTTTCTTTTTTGAGATCGACCTAACAATTAATAATAATAAATTCTCTATTGTTTAAATTAATTAAAATCACATAAATATTAAAAAATAATAACAAATTTTAAAAGAGTAAACAATAATTAAAAATTAAAGGAAACTATTATAGGAACTTGTACCTATTTTTAAAATTGAAAAAATTGAATCTCACCACCAACATGGCTTTTTTTATTTATGACATGGACTTAAAAAGTAATTTTTTTTCTCTATTGTTTAAATTAATTAAAATTTTAAAATAAGATATACAATAATAAATAACAATAAAATTGATGGACTTTGATTGTAGGACCAAAAAAAAAAGGATGAAAATTTTAGTTAATGATACTGGAGAAATAGTTGAGGGACCATTTTTCAGGTCATACCCTTCAATTAGAGCTTCTTCAAAAAGTTTCGCATATATCCTTCAAAACTCAGTCACGTGGCCATCGCGTGATCACGGATGGACCATCTTGGTACAAAATAAAAAGTTCAAGGAACGTTTGAAATGAAAATTTTAATTGATTGACCAAAATGATACTAGAGCAATAGTTGGGGGACCATTTAGATCATTAACCCTTATAACTATTATATATCTTTTGCTTTGGTCCATTTATCATCAGGGAATTTTTAACTCGACATTTTGCTAACAACTAGTCAGAAGAATAGTCCCACCAACTCTTGTAGTGTTTTAACATACATCTTTGCCATTGGACCTAGTAGCACAAGGTGACAGAATGACAATAATACTTGTCTTTTCCTAGTAGCACAACACACACCAAGAGTTGTCTCGACCCTTTTAGTAAGATAAGAATTATTCATTTTCCTCATGTAAAAATAGTTAAATAGATTTATTGACAATAACCAATGGAAACTCCTATAAACAAAACTATTAAAATGGGGTTGCACCGTGGTTATTGAAAATAAACACAAATATTTGTGCCTTCAAGCTCAAAGAGCACAAAAGAAATAGTGTAATATTGTAGTAATTAATGGTAATTTTTGTATGTTTGGGTAATTTTTGTATGAACTAGAACTTGCCAAGCTCATTGTGCAAAAGGGTCAATCCATCATCTCCACTCCAAGAAACATTGACCGCCTCACACATCTCCATCCAAATTTCTTCTCTCGGACTTCATAAAATTTTCCCTCTGTTGTCATGTTCTGGGGAGAAAAATATTGAAATGGTGAGATATTCTACTAGAAAATCAGCCACTACCCATTGATTACCTATACAGGTAGAATTCGTTTTAAACCTGGAGGTTGTTACTTGAGTGTCGATTCCTATAACTAGGTGTTGGTAAAATATAAAGATAATTGTTATATTTACAGAATTTCGAAAATAAAATTTACTATAAATTTAAAATAAATACAAAAAAATAACTATAAGGAAAATTAAGAATACTTTACAGATGATCGAGTCTAGAACATGATTCTATCTCTCCAAGACGAAATTGCCTCCTCACAGGTACTTTTAGGATTTGCTTGGGAAATGTCTCTCAGGATACAACAATCACCTTCTTGTTGAAGTAGCACTACAATCCCCAAGAAAAGTGAACTCGAACTTGTGTATGAATTCTAACTTTTAATGTATGCATTTTCGAGTTTTTCTTTTGGCTTCCCTTGACAACTTTGTATTAGGATTTGTATTGTTATTTATCAAGCTCAAGTTTAGAAGAAAAGCTTCTCTTGGTGCTCTTATCTAACTTATATCCTATGGAGGTTCAAGCAATTTGACAAAGGTAAGGTGTGCATTGCATATCATTGCATTAAACTGTTTTTATAAAATGATGACTAGTCATCTTTTCTCGTATAACTAGTCATCCTTGCTATTTGGATTTCCAGCTGGATAATCAACCTCTTTGTCCTATTCACCTTTCTCTCTCTGCTGCCAGGTGTGATTCTGACCTAAGGGAATTTCTGTCTGTAAAGGCTACGAAATTCCTCTTTGGGCAGCCGTCTCTTTGGTGTGGAAGTTTTGGAAAGATTGGTTTTGCTATCTTTCTCTTTTTCTTCCTCAAGAGAGACCCAAATATTTCATCTATGAGTTTTTCCAATTGATTTCTTATTTGAAAAACTGCATTTGAAACACAAATCTGCATCTAGCTACTTAAATCATTCTCTCATTTATATCTAGGTCAAATTCAAGACTGATTTCTTCAAGAGTATGGTTTCTTGAAGAAATTGGTCATTCTCCTTTAAATCCAAATTTTGGTTTCGGTCTGTGTTGGAGCTTGCAAGCTAGTGCCATGGGATGAACGAGCTGGAGAAGGAGCTGTCATTGCCATGAAGAACTGAGCTTCAAGTTTTGCTAAGTTGGAGAAGAAGATTGCACGAAGGAGGTATAACTCATATTCCTAAATAGATCTAGGTGTTTCTTGAGCTTGGTTGTGTTTCCTTTGTAAGAATCTTTTTCTACTTAGTGGAGTTCCTGGTCGGTTTATGACTCCCAATTTTTCCCAATGGTGGGTTTCTGGGTGAACAAACTCTGTTTTTCATATCTGTAATTTTTCTGGAATTGTGTTCTTGGTGATTGACTAGTCATCTTTATCAGTGGTTTGGTGTTTACTTGATAATGATGATTTCACACACTTTCACCATAGTTGTTGCTAGCACAGGGGATGCCTAGATTGACGGATCATTCTGAGTGCCTAGGTTGTCACTAGTAATCTTCTAGGGTTGCAAGTACTTTGTGGCATGCTTTGTGTGTTCTCTTGATTGTGGTTGTTCATGACTAGCAGTTGACTAGTCATATGTGTATTTGGTCAAGGTCTAAAGTGTGTGAAGATTGTTATGTTGTTGTGTCTTGTTTGTGTCGTTAAATTTACCCCTCGTCTCCTAAGTACTAATTTCACTAACTCACTATATTTCTAAAATATAATGCTATGAATGCTCTAAAAACTGCTATTGTTGGATGACAATTGGATGAATAAAATGTTGTAGGACCTTCTCTATTTATAGGCAACAAGGTCTCTGTTTAGAAAAGATGTGACTGAAAAATATCAACAAATGTGTCTTTTCATGTTGCAACTAGAAGCCAAGAAGTGCAATGTTTCAATTTCTATGAAACAATGAACTTTTCATATAAAGTATTATTATTTATTCACAAACAAAATAAATAATATTTTATTTTTCCTCAGTTAAGAACATGACTATTCCTAATGGACAGTCTCGATCTCTTGGACCACAGGAGTCTAAGAGATTGTGGTCACCCACCGTTAGATATTAATCCAATGTTCAAAAAAGTTTCGTAAAAGGAGTGCAAGAGTGAGTGAACCGTTGAATTTACATCCAACGGTGAGTAACCACAAATCTCATGGACTCTTGTAGTCCAAGAGATTAAGACTGCCCAATGAATACATACCAGTTCATAAAAGTCATGTATTTAAAGTTACAGGTCCCACAATTCAATTTCCATTCAATTATTGAAAAATTATATATATATATATATATATTGTAATTTTCTAACAATTCCCCACATGAATGGAAATTAGTTAATGCAAATGTACAATGTAGACACTTGAGAGAATTCAGTTGAAAAGGCACCACATCAAGATAGGTAGCTTTTGGCCTCGAACATTCCGTAATGAAGTAAAATCGGATTTACTAGCTAATTAGTAAGCATGATGTCTTGAACTGTTCAGCCGTCGTGTAAATCGAAACAATATTACTCACATAATAGCTTTTCATACACATTTGGTTCTAGGTTGTGTCCTTTTGGCCATGGACCAGTCCTGGTCTTTGTTAGTACTTTAGAGAATTGAGCATTGCAATTCTCATATAAATGGCCTCATTTCGTACTAATATAGGTGATTTCCTATAAAGAGTATCATGCTACACTCCACTTGGTTTTCCAAGTCATAAGAATCATTAAAAGCTTAACTTAACCATACAAAATGCAGGGAGCATTGGATCATCATAGGAATGGGCAAGGGATGGAATCCCCACAATGCTCCCACTTTAGTCACACATAACTTAGTTGTCCCTTTGAACCTAAGTCTTAGGATCTCCAGTCGGCTAGGTTGGGTGTCCATAATGGCAACTATTGAGATATAGGCTTTAGCCCCATTCCCCTCGATGATTTGTTAACTAGCTCTCTCGTCAAACCTTTAGTAAACTAATCCGCTAAATTATCTCTTGACCTTATATATTCAATAGTAATTATACAACTTGAGAGCAGTTGTCTTACAGTATTATGTCTTCGACGTATGTGTTGAGACTTTATACATATTATTTTGTGCCCTTCTATAATCGTCGCTTAACGATCACAATGTATACATATCTTCTAAGAAATTACGAAGCCACTCAGCTTCTTCTCCAGCTTTATCCAAAGCAATAAATTCATATTCCATAGTGGATCTAGTAATACACGTTTGTTTTGTAGATTTCCAAGATACACCTGCACCTCCTAACGTAAAGACATATCCACTTGTGGAGTTTGAGTCTCTCGTATCTGATATCCAATTTGCATCACTATAACCTTCTAGTACATATGGATATCTTGTGTAATGCAATCCATAGTTCTTAGTATAGCTCAAATACTTAAGAACCCTAATAATCGCTTTCCAGTGATCTCTTCCAGGATTGCTTGTATATCTACCCAATTCATTAACTGAGTATGCTAGGTCAAGGCGAGTACAGTTTGTTGAGCTAAGCAAGAAAATTTTCTTTTAAGTTGTTTTTGTTGGTTTACTAGTTTCATTATTTTGTTCCGCTTAAACTAAAGAAATTCCACTCTTTGTATCTTTCAAAATTGAATTCCACTCTTGATTTTAAGAAATTTGAAAGTATCCTTATGGCTGTAATTAGTACTCAAATCCAGAGTCACCTTGCACTTCGTTTCATTGAATCACATCACATTCTAGAATATGAATCTGTTATTAATGTCTCCTCTGAAACAGGTGCTGGTGTTATTCTCTGCATAGAAAAGGCATTGGCTCAGTCTGGGGTGTCTAGAGGAGATTTTAATTACATCAACGCACATGCTACATCCACACCATTCAGAGACCTGAAAGAGTATAATGCTCTAATTCATTGTTTTGGCCAGAATACTCCTGAGGTAGCCAAAATGCATAACATGAATTATCTGTTTTAATATCATGCATTGCCATGCTTAATAACATCTCGACTGTTTACAGTTGAGAGTAAAACTCTACAAAATCCATGATTGGTGACCTATACTAGCTAGGAGCAACTGGTGCTGTAGAAGTGTTGCAACAGTACAGGTAACTTATGTGATGTTTTTACCTTGGAAGTAGTGTATAAGTTGAAGTCTTGTATGTGAAGACCAAATACAACTTAGTAGCTGGTTTATTCATGAAATCTGAGAAATTCAATTTTGACAAAGACTTTGGTGGGATGGAAAGGCTTGATATGTTCTTCCCATTTGACCCATGTTTGCCGAAAAAAAGAGTGACAGGTTTGTATTGGCTATGAATTGATCCTTGCATTAAGAGATTCCTTTCTATCTAACATCAAATCTAACATTGGAAAAACTCAGGTTGGAAGCATGAAATGAACAGGAATTATGATATATTTGTGTGAAAATGCATTCTTTGAACAGAAAATTTGGGGCACCCAGCCCTTTTTGGGAAATACAAATCTTCAAACGATGAGAAGGGAAAAAAAGGCAAATTTGACTGGTGCATTCTTACTGTTATTCTTCATGGTGTAGAAAACAAATATGCATTCTCATTATTTTTCTAAAATTTTATTTGAAAATTAATGTTACGCCTAGAAAACTAGACCTATTGTATGACAAAGCGGCTTTTATATTGTGCATTTTTACGTTCAAGCACAATTGAGTTGTTTCTCATAATTTTGTCTCGTTATGTTTTTCCCATGAATTCCACAATTTTACTTTTGATAATAGGAGAGAGGGAGGGACGGAGGGAGAAGACATTGGCGGCTTGTGTAAGGCCTGAAGTCTCAAAACAAATAAAAACACGAGATAAATCCCAGTAAATGACAAAAACAAAGTTTTGAACATTACACCAAACATACTAATTCTGCCGTTTTGAAAATAATGAGAGCAAAACTATATATAGATATACTATTGAAGATATTTTGGAAGATATAGATTAGTTTCTATATATGATAGGTTGTAGTCAACACTCTGCCTAATTGGTGAGTTGTGATTACCGCCTTTTCCTTGATTTAAGGTTTCCTTGTAATTAGTGTTGACCTTTACAGCTTAATTTGTGGGTAAAGTCTGTGGTTAGGGAAAAGCCTGTTGTCTGGTGGTTTCTTGCCCTCACTCAACCTCTCTATATATTTTTGTATTGTGTAATTCTCCTCATGATGAAAAATACAAACATTCATTGAAAATCAACATGGTATCAGAGTAGGAACCTTAACCAGCCTGTCTCTGCATCTTTGCTTCTCATTTTCTACTTCCTTCACTCTTCACTAAATGGCAGAAGAGAATCCTTTCAGTCAGGAGGCAGAGAGCTCTTCTATTCTCTCTCCTTCAAATCCTTCTGACATTGATGTCAACCCAAATCAACGTTTGAGTTCAGTGTTACTGAACGAATTCAATTACTTTCCTTGGTCGAGAGCTGTTACACTTGCTCTTGGTGGAAGATCAAAGCTTGGCTTCATTAACGGGAATATTGAAGCTCCTGATGTTTCTTCACCCAATTATGAATCCTGGCTGTGCAAAGACCAATTGGTTATGTCGTGGCTTCTCAACTCTATAGAGCGGAAAGTTGCTGAAATTTTCATCTTTTACGGGTCCTCTTTCATCTATGGGAGGCTATCAAAGAAATGTATGGCAATCAAAACAATTATGCCCGTGTTTTTCAACTCAAGAAAGACATTGCAAGCCTTCAACAAGAGGGTAAGCCTTTTATCCAACTTCTTGGTAGCATGAAAAGCATGTGGAATGAGCTTGAGGTATATCTTCCACACACTACTGACGCAGCTATGTTGCTGAAAAGATATGAAGAAGACAAGATCTTTCAGTTGTTGACAAGTCTAAGTTCGGAGTATGAAGATCTCTGCAGCCACGTCCTTATGAATTTAGATCTTCCATCATTTGCAAATGTGTGTGCCACAATTCAATGAGAAGAGATTCGTAGGAAGGTCATGAACATGAAGACCAAGGCAAATACATCTGAGGCTAGGGCGTACATGTCCAACAACAAGCATGTTGAAGAAAGAGTGTACAAGGGCAAGAGGCCAGATTTGAAGTGCCATCATTGCAATAATACTGGGCATGTAATAGAACGATGCTGGATTCTACACCCAGAATTGAAGCCTAAGTTTGCAGCAGACACCAAGGGTGCTCAAAAACGTTCACAAAATTCAGGCTACAAGACGAATCATGCAACTTCTTCTACTGATGGGCCTTCAAACTTCACCTCGAATCATGTTTCACTCATCAACGAGTTTGCTGCCTATCTTCAGAAAAAGAATGGGGGTGATGAAAGTAAAGGAGTGACTAATTCTAGGAACGAGAACTCAATTGCCTTACTTGGAAAGTTTGCTGGATTTCTTGCTAAATCTGACAAGTTCTCACATGAAGATATACCAGGTATGTTGAATACTTTCTCAACTGCCTTAAATGTTAGTAAAGTGCATGATTTTTGGGTCATAGATTCAGGTGTCACTGATCATATGACAAATAAAATTACAAATTTGTATGACTTTGAAAAAATGACCAAACCCTCCCAAGTATCAGTTGCAAATGGTAAAGGTGTGTCGGTTGTGGGTAGAGGAAAGATCAAACTGATCTCAGAAAATTTTGAGTCAATGGCTTTGTATGTCCCCTCCTTTCCTTTTCAATTACTCTCAGTTGGAAGAATCACGAACTCCTTGAATTGTCTTGTTATTTTTTCTCCTTATAATGTTATTTTTCAGGATCCAGTCACCAAGAAGACGATTAGTCAAGGGTTCTATTTAAATGGACTCTATTACCTCTCAAAGGATTTTCAAACTTGCAAGGGATTTCATGTAGAGTCTAACCTAGCTCAAGATCAACATTTGTGGCATCAACGTCTTGCTCACCCCTCAGAAACTGTTTTGTCAAACTTGTTTCCCAGCTTGTGTAAAAATTCGATCAAATGTGATACTTGTCATTTGTCGAAGTTTGCTAGGTTACCTTTTAATTCTTCCATGTCTAGAGCTAGCAAGCTTTTTGAAATTGTACACTCCGATGTTTGGGGTCCAACTTTTGAATCGTTCGATGGTTATAAATATTTTGTGACTTTTGTTGATGATTTCTCTAGAGTCACTTGGTTGTATCTTTTGAAATTTAAAAGTGAAGTTGTAGATGTGTTCAAAGACTTTCATAATCTTGTAAAGAACCAATTTTCAACTCAAATCCAAACTCTAAGATCAGATAATGGCACTGAATACATGTCTCATATCATGACACAATACTTGAGCACACATGGGATCATTCACCAAACAAGTTGTGTTGGTGCACCCCAACAAAACGAGGTAGCCGAAAGAAAAAATCGAGATTTACTTGAGAAAACAAGAGCCTTAATGTTTCAAATGAATGTTCCCAAGAAATTTTGGTCTCAAGGAGTTCTCACCGCTGCATATCTCATCAATCGATTACCTAGTAAAGTGTTGGATTTCAAATCTCCTTATGAAGTTATGAAAGGGAAGAAAATTAATTTATCCCATTTGAAGGTGTTTGGATGTACTTGCTTTGTTCACATTCAATCTTCTCATCGTGATAAACTTGATCCAAGGGTTGTCAAATGCATATTCATGGGATATTCTTCATCTCAAAAAGGGTATAAGTGTTACAACCATAATTCTAAGAAGCTCATTGTGACAAGAGATGTCAAGTTTGATGAAACCACCTCATTTTACAGCAAGTCTCCTGAAATTTCTAGCCAGGGGGAGCAATTTCTTGATCTCTTTCCATTGCCAAATCCTGCTGCAAACAATGACAGTTTCTCTCTAATGTCCACCAACATTGATATGCCATTAACTAAAACTGAAAGTGTAGTTCCTAGTGCTGCAGATGAAGATTTAGAGGTCACTCATCACCAACATGGGGACCAAAGCACTATTGAAGCCGCTGCACCAACACCTCTTCAACACTATCCTACTCGTGATCGCCATCCACCTACAAGGCTACAAGATTATGTCACCTATACAGCAAGGCATCCAATAACCAACTTCATTGCTTATCACAAAGTGTCACCATCTCATGCTGCGTTTCTTAGTGCTATCTCCAGTAACCATGAGCCCCAAAGTTTTCAGGAGGCTAATCTTCAAGAAGTATGGAGAACATCCATGAAAGAAGAACTTCAAGCACTTGATGATAACCACACCTGGAGTATTGTTAAACTCCCCAAAGGAAAAAAAATTGTGGGAAGCAGGTGGATTTATAAGATCAAATTTAATTTGGATGGGTCTATTGAAAGATACAAAGCGAGATTGGTGGCTCGCGGTTTCACTCAAACCTTTGGCGTAGATTACAAAGAAACGTTTGCCCCTGTTGCAAAGATGACTACAGTTCGGGTTTTATTATCTGTTGTTGTCAATAATGGGTGGCCCTTGTATCAAATGGATGTTTAAAATGAATTTCTGCATGGAGATCTTGAAGAGGAAGTCTACATGAAACTCCCTCCTGGCCATCCTCAAGGTTGTGATTCAAATTTGGTTTGTAAACTTCACAAATCTATTTATGGATTCAAACAATCTCCCCGTTCCTGGTATGCCAAGCTAAGTTCAGTTCTTGAAGCAGTTGGCTTCCAGCGAAGCAACGCAGATTCCTCCTTGTTTATTTGCACTAGATTAGTTGGAAAATTAGTTGTCCTTATATATGTTGATGATCTCATCATCACGGATGATAATGGTGAAGAGATTACCAATCTTAAACAATCTCTTCGTCAGAAGTTTGCAATTAAAGACTTAGGAGTATTAAAATACTTCCTTGGGATCGAAATGGCAACTTCACACAAAGGACTGTTCTTAAACCAACACAAATATGTGCTTGATTTACTTCAAGAAGCAGACATGATCAACTCCAAACCTGCTTGTACCTCACTTGACAGCAAACTGAAAATAGACATGGAAGGCGAGCCTCTCAACAACATCAGCCACTATCAAAGGTTAGTTGGAAAGCTCATCTATCTAACTATCACAAGACCTGACATTACTTATGCAGTCAGTCTTGTGAGTCAATTCATGCATTCTTCCACTATGGCTCATCTTAATGTTGTCAAAAGAATCCTTCGCTATCTCAAGGGGTCTGTTGGTCGAGGTATTCTCATGAAAAAAAATGATACCACTCAAATCATGGGGTACACTGACGCGAATTGGGCCGGAAATGCTATCGATCGAAAATCAACCACTGGCTATTGTACATTTGTTGGAGGAAACTTAGTCTCATGGAAGAGTAAAAAGCAAAACGTAATTGCTCGTTCAAGTGCCGAAGCTGAGTATAGGGCAATGGCCTCAACTGCTTGTGAACTCATTTGGTTAAAGGGTCTTCTCTCTGATTTGGGGTTTCACAGCAGCCAATCTATGTCTCTCTTCTGTGACAATCAAGCAGCCATGCACATCACTTCCAATCCTGTGTTTCACGAAAGAACAAAGCACATTGAAGTCGATTGTCATTATATTCGTGCTCAAGTTCAATCCAAGGTGATAGAAACTGTTTACACTCGTAGTCATGACCAGCTCGCAGATATCTTCACCAAACCTCTCTCTTCTAGTCAATTTCAACGGTTACTAGTCAAGCTTGGATCAATTAATTTACTTGTTCCAGCTTGAGGGGGAGTATTGAAGATATTTTGGAAAGATATAGATTAGTTTCTGTATAGGATAGGTTGTAGTCAACACTCTACCTAATTGGTGAGTTGTGATTACCACCTTTTCCTTGATTTAAGGTTTCCTTGTAATTAGTGTTGGCCTTTACAGCTTAATTTGTGGGTAAAGTCTGTGGTGAGGGAAAAGCCTGTTGTCTGGTGGTTTCTTGCCCTCACTCAATCTCTCTATATATTTGTGTATTGTGTAATTCTCCTCATGATGAAAAATACAAACATTCATTGAAAATCAACATATACATTTAAGAACCATAACGATACTTGAAACCACTGCATGCTCGTTTATATAATGAAAACCAAGAATACTGCGAATAACTTGAGCATTCTCATATAATAACCAAATACCATCTATGAAACAACACCAGATGCAAACATGCAAGGTAACCTTTTCGTTATATAAGTACATAGATAGAAAGACAAACCACACCGACTAATTTTGGGGATGAACGGTCCAACACGAGGACCATTGTTTTCTAGAACACACGTTAGAATCCTCAATACACATATAGTTAGGGATGAGATGTTCAACATTGCCAATATTAATAGGGCTTTAATTTGGAAATGTCGATGGTTATTTGGAAAAGTAGGAACATCGATGCATAGTCAATTTATGACAATAGCTAGGAAGGGTTAAAAAGGTAGGTAGCCAGAAAGGGAAATTGTAGACACCCGAAAACAAATAAAAAACGGTAATGCAAATGATGGTATCTCTAACCTAGTGCGCATATAATTGATAAGATAACATATATATAAACACAATGTTACTGTGATCGTGCCAGAAACTTCGAAAAAAACAAAATGCTTTTTATATTGACAAATTGTGAATTAAAACCAAAGACATAAAATGTTCATGGCATGTGCTTGACTCATCAATGTGACAGTAATTATATATTTTATTGGTAGAGTGTTGTCTTCTATATCAATGAGTGAAGAAATAATTAATGATAAGGAATACATCTTAGGTGGCCGGCCTCATATTATACGATGATTTTTTTTTATAAAAAGGCGATAGAATTTTAATATATGATGACGATGAAGGTGATGATAAAATATTTTTGTGTTTAGACAAACATAAAGTATTTAAAGCGTGTGTTGATTATTTTTGTCATTTGCCACTTCCTGAAGTTGAATATATATATATATGAACAAAGACAAGGGGGAAAAAGACATAATATTCAAACAAAATTGAGAGAAAATATATAATAATAAATAAATAAAAAGTAAGAGGGCAGATGGTGTGGACACAGAATCGTAGTTTTCGTTGTACCAAAATCCATTTAAAAACTTTATATTAAAAAATGTAACGAAATACAACACGACTCTCAGGATCAGGCCTACAAATTCATCAATGCATGATGATGTCCTACAAGTTGCGCCCATAATACGCAGAAAGAGAGAGAGAGAGAGAGAGAGAGAGAGGTTCACATATGAGCACCTCCACCACCATGAGCTCCACAACTGAGCCTAAGAAGCTTCACATGGCATTGTTTCCATGGCTGGCCTTTGGTCACATAATTCCCTTTTTTGAGGTTGCCAAGCACGTAGCTCGAAGAGGTCACAAAGTTTCCTTCATATCCACCCCACGAAACATCCAACGCCTCCCCAAAATCCCTCAACACTTAACCCCTTTGATCAATTTAGTGCAGATCCCGCTGCCACGTGTCGAAAATCTGCCGGAGAGTGCAGAGGCCACTATGGACGTGCCATACCACATAATCCCATACCTCAAAATGGCTCATGATGGACTCGAACAAGGTATTTCCAATTTCCTACGAACTCACAAGCCGGATTGGATTATTCACGACTTTGCCCCTTACTGGTTACCACCTATAGCTTCTAGCCTAGGCATTTCACGAGCACATTTCAGTGTTTTCAACGCGTCCTCCCTATGTTTCTACGGACCAACATCACCGCAGGGACTAGATCGCTATGGTGTTAGAACACTACCAGAGCACTTCACTGTCCCTCCCGAATGGATCCCTTTCCCTTCAAATTTGGTTTTTAGGTCTTTTGAGGCCAAGAAACTGTTTGACGCTACGAAACAAAACGCTTCCGGTGTTTCGGATTTGTTTCGTGTGCAGTCGACGGTCCAAGGTTGTCAAGTCTATTTGATTCGAAGTTGTAGAGAGATTGAGGGTGAGTGGCTCGATTTGCTACAAGAGCTTCAACAAAAACCTGTGGTTCCAACAGGCTTAATGCCACCTGTAGTGCAAGCTAGAGAAGACAAAGAAGATTGGTCTAGAATTTATCAGTGGTTGGACAAACAAGAGAATGGAACTGTAGTTTACATTGCCCTCGGAAGTGAGCTTAACTTAAGCCAAGAAGACTTCACCGAGTTGGCTCTTGGATTGGAGCTATCTGGGTTGCCCTTCTTTGGGTCCTGAGGACAACAAGTTGGTCAGGAGACAGTGACTCGGTTAAGCTACCAGATGGGTTCGAGGAACGAACCAAGGGTCGTGGACTGGTTTGGACAACTTGGGCACCTCAAACCAAGATATTGGCTCACGACTCAATTGGGGGGTTTTTGACTCATTGCGGTTGGAGTTCACTCATAGAGGCACTCCAATATGGACGTCCTCTTATCATGTTGCCCTTCTTGCATGACCAAGGGCTAATTGCTAGGTTTTGGGACAAGAAGATTGGAATTGAAGTTCCGAGAAATGAAGAAGATGGATCCTTTACCAGGAAATCGTTGGCCGAGTCTCTGAATTTGGTTGTGGTGGATGAGGAAGGGAAGGCTTACAGAGATGGAGCCAAAGAACATGGTGAGGTATTCAAAGATAAGGCCCTCCATGATAGATACATGGACAAATGTGTGGAGTATTTGGAAAACCATGTGCACATGCATGAGGTTGATTTGAATGCTGGTTTAGAAGCTTTTCCCAATTCAGAAAAAGTTAAAGTTGTTGTCGAGATCTTTGACCTACTGGAAGTGCATTCATGAATCGCACAGTATCAACTTGTATAAAGAGAATTTTCTTTATAACTATTATTATGTATGCTATTACTTGAGAAAAGTTTCCCCTCCATTCAAAACTATGTGTCTCATATATCATCAGGGAATTTTTAACCGTACAGTTTGCTAACAACTAGTCAGAAGAAGAATAGTCCCACCAACTCTTCGTAATGTTTTAACATCCTTTTCCATTGGACCTAGTAGCACAAGGATACAATGACAATAATACCTGTCTTCTTTATTTCTTTTTTCTACAAGGACTTATACACACCACGAGTTGTCTCAAATCTTAGTAAGATAAGAATTATTCATTTTCCTCGTATAAAAATAGTGAAACAGATTTATTGACAATAAGCAATGGAAACTCCTATAAACGAAACTGACAATTAAAATGTGGTTGCATCATGGCTATTTACAATAAACACAAATATTTGTGCCTGACGCTGCAAAACTAATCCTCATGAGTTTTGTCAACTCCTATAAAGGAAATATGCAACGGGAGCTTGACGAAGGTGATTAACGACGACGAGAGATTCGGAGGGAGCTGTGGGAGACGTTCGATGTTTCTTGGAGTGGAGATGAAGGAGAGTTGGTGGCCTTTTTGGGCAATGAGCTTGGCGAGCTCTAGGTATGGGATCATATGGCCAAAGGCTAGCCATGGAAACATTGCTATGTGAAGCTTTTGATCACTGGAATCCATGGTGATCAGTAATGTTATCTAGGGCTTTTATTCTTGTTGTGAGTAGAGTCCCTAAACCCTATACTTGTATATATACATCCAGCAAGGTACAATTTATTAGGCTTCAAATTAACTCCTGCTGCTCAAACAGGTGTTTATGTTGTTTGGTGTTTTTTTTTTTTTTTTTTTTTTTTTTTTTTGTTCCTTAATTACTATCTTTAAACTTGTCTGCAACGGATGTCGTGGTTACCAACTCATTGGTAGCTGTCCGCAGGAGTTGCAGGTTGCCAAATTTTGATTTATATTTGAAGGCATGAGGACAAATCACATGGTGAAGGTTTTGGAAACGCTCGTTGGTCCCAAATGGTCCCTCAAAAGATTCATCGAAAAAGCAGAGCAAGGAAAGGTACAGAAATATTGTATTGTTATCTCCCAGATTTTTTTTTAATGTTTATTAATGAAATTCGCTCATTTCGTTAAGTTTGTTATATAAGTTTTGCCCGGTCGGTTTTCGAATCCTGGAACATCCACTGACCACACATTAGAATTCTCAATACACTTATAGCTAGGGATGAGATGTCGAACATTGCCAATATTAATAGGGCTTTTATGTGGAAAAGTATGGCAACATCGATGGTTATTTGGAAAAGTAGGAACATCGATACATAGGATCAATTTATGACAATAGCTAGGAAGGGTAGGTAGGAACATGTTTCTTGGTCTTAAAAGGTAGGTAGCTAGAAAGGGAAATTGTAGACACCCGAAAACAAATAAAAAACGGTAATGCAAATGATGGTATCTCTAACCTAGTGCGCATATAATTGATAAGATAACATATATATATAAACACAATGTTACTGTGATTGTGCCAGAAACTTTGAAAAAAACAAAATGCTTTTTATATTGACAAATTGTGAATTAAAACCAAAGACATAAAATGTTCATGGCATGTGCTTGACTCATCAATGTGACAGTAATTATATATTTTATTGGTAGAGTTTTGTCTTCTATATCAATGAGTGAAGAAATAATTACTGATATGGAATACATCTTAGGTGGCCGGCCTCATATTATACGATGATTTTTTTTATAAAAAGGCGATAGAATTTTAATATATGATGATGATGAAGGTGATGATAAAATATTTTTGTGTTTGGACATATGGGAAAGTTCTAATTTCATGTGTGGACAAACATAAAGTATTTAAAGCGTGTGTTGATTATTTTCGTCATTTGCCACTTCCAGAAGTTGAATATATATATGAACAAAGACAAGGGGGAAAAAGACATAATATTCAAACAAAATTGAGAGAAAATATATAATAATAAATAAATAAAAAGTAAGAGGGCAGATGGTGTGGACACAGAATCGTAGCTTTTGTTGTACCAAAATCCATTTAAAAACTTTATATAAAAAAATGTAACGAAAGATAACACGACTCTCAGGGTCAGGCCTACAAATTCATCAATGCATGATGATGTCCTACAAGTTGTGCCCATAATACGCAAAGAGAGAGAGAGAGAGAGAGAGAGAGGTTCCCATATGAGCACCTCCACCACCATGAGCTCCACAACTGAGCCTAAGAAGCTCCACATAGCATTGTTTCCATGGCTGGCCTTTGGTCACATAATTCCCTTTTTTGAGGTTGCCAAGCACGTAGCTCGAAGAGGTCACAAAGTTTCCTTCATATCCACCCCACGAAACATCCAACGCCTCCCCAAAATCCCTCAACACTTAACCCCTTTGATCAATTTAGTGCAGATCCCGCTGCCACGTGTCGAAAATCTGCCGGAGAATGCAGAGGCCACTATGGACGTGCCATACCACATAATCCCATACCTCAAAATAGCTCATGATGGACTCGAACAAGGTATTTCCAATTTCCTACAAACTCACAAGCCGGATTGGATTATTCACGACTTTGCTCCTCACTGGCTACCACCTATAGCTTCTAGCCTAGGCATTTCACGAGCACATTTCAGTATTTTCAACGCATCCACTCTATGTTTCATTGGACCAACATCACCGGAGGGACTAGATCGCTATGGTCTTAGAACACTACCAGAGCACTTCACTGTCCCTCCCGAATGGATCCCTTTCCCTTCAAATTTGGTTTTTAGGTCTTTTGAGGCCAAGAAACTGTTTGACGCTACGAAACAAAACTCTTCCGGTGTTTCGGATTTGTTTCGTGTGCAGTCGACGGTCCAAGGTTGTCAAGTCTATTTGATTCGAAGTTGTAGAGAGATTGAGGGTGAGTGGCTCGATTTGCTACAAGAGCTTCAACAAAAACCTGTGGTTCCAGTAGGCTTATTGCCACCTTTGGTTCAAACTATAAAAGACAAAGAAGATTGGTCTAGAATTTATCAGTGGTTGGACAAACAAGAGAATGGAACTGTAGTTTACATTGCCCTTGGAAGTGAGCTTAACTTAAGCCAAGAAGACTTCACCGAGTTGGCTCTTGGATTGGAGCTATCTGGGTTGCCCTTCTTTTGGGTCCTGAGGACACCTAGTTGGTCAGGAGACAGTGACTCGGTGAAGCTACCAGATGGGTTCGAGGAGCGAACCAAGGGTCGTGGACTAGTTTGGACAACTTGGGCACCTCAAACCAAGATATTGGCTCACGACTCAATTGGGGGGTTTTTGACTCATTGCGGTTGGAGTTCACTCATAGAGGCACTCCAATATGGACGTCCTCTTATCATGTTGCCCTTCTTGTATGACCAAGGGCTAATTGCTAGGTTTTGGGACAAGAAGATTGGAATTGAAGTTCCAAGAAATGAAGAAGATGGATCATTTACCAGGAAATGGTTGGCCGAGTCTCTGAATTTGGTTGTGGTGGATGAGGAAGGGAAGGCTTACAGAGATGGAGCCAAAGAACATAGTGAGGTATTCAAAGATAAGGATCTCCATGATAGATACATGGACAAATGTGTGGAGTACTTGGAAAACCATGCACAACTTTGATTCTATTAATGAATTCTCTTTCTCAAAAAAAAAAAAAAAAAAAAAAAAAAAATAAATACTTATTGTGTGATTTATCGCTTCTTTTTGTTTTGTTTGACTTTTCCATATGTTTGAGTTATTTATAGCAAAACATTTAATCAAGTCGGTAATCAAACATATTAATAGACGTAAATGTAAAATATAAATGAAATATTATTTAAAAAAATTATTTTGATTATATAATATACCTATAATATATTAAACATAACTTCTTTAACTGACTAGCCAGGGAGGGAGGTGTGGAGACGTTCAATGTTTCTTGGAGTGAAGATGAAGGAGATTTAGTGACCTTTTTGAGCAATGAGCTTGGCAAGCTCTATGTTATCTAGGGCTTTTGTTTTTTGTTGTGAGTAAAGTCAGATCCCTAGGCCCGACATATAAATATACATCCACACAAAGATTGGTCGTTGGGAAACAAATTATCAATCTGTATAGTCTTTCGTCCTTTGAATTATGAAGGTACAATTATTAGGGCTCAAATAATTGCTCCTCTAAAGCTAATAAGATTTTTATGTTTCATGGCGGACAAAATTGATAGCTATGGTCCCATAGCAAAATGGGGGATTTGTGTTGAAAATTCGCACGGCTCTGGTTTCATTTCGCAATCAAATGAGTCTCATGGTTTTCAGTGGTGGGGACGGTATGAATATGTAGTTTCTAAAAATGGAAAGATTACGGACCACCACACAAAGAAGACATAATTAATTGAGTGATTTATCGCTTTTTTTGTTTTGTTTGAATTCTTCAAATTTATAAATCAACTAGTTATTTTCAATAAACAGTCGAAATAATCACTATATGGTAAGCATATGACTAAGAGCATCTGTAATGCTTAAGATCAATGCAATTTTATTGCATGAAATTGAACTAAAACAGTACAATTCACTTGCAATGGTGTGGGATTTAGTTCACTTCAATAGATGTAATTGCAATAGAGGGTGCTATGTGATGAACCCAATCATGGGACCCACATGCCAATAAAAAATAAAAATAAAAGTACAGCAATGAATACATTATGTTGTTAAGAGCATCCGCAATGGTTGTTCATTAGTTCAATGCAATATAAAAAATACATCAATTTTTTTTTTCAAATATATTAAAAATTGCTCTCTTTTTAAAGATCTCTTTGAGAATAGTGCAATGGTACAATTTTTAGTTTTATTAAATTTATCCCTTTTATTTTATTTGAGTATGTAAAAAAATGTGCAAGTAGATATAAATGTTGATCTAAAGTTATTGAATTGTACCATTGCAAGTAAAACTACAGTTCAATTCAATGGATTCCAAAAAAGTTCAATTTATTTAACTATTGCATTGAACTATTGAACAATCATTGCGGATGCTCTAAATGTTTTTTTTTCTTAAAAATCAACAAAGTTCAAGTTTTAATAATATACTGATAAATAAATAAAGGGTGTTGTTAAACGAATCCTTAAATTTTAATTGAGTAGACCCTATGATCTAAGTACACCTTAATATTTAAATCAAAATGTAAAATTAACTAACTACACCCTATTTAAGTTTTTCCCAATTTAACATACATGGACAAATGTGTGGAGTATTTGGATGTGGTGGATGAGGAGGAGAAGGCTTACAGAGATGGAGCCAAAGAACATGGTGAGGTATTCAAAGATAAGGCCCTCCATGATAGATACATGGACAAATGTGTGGAGTATTTGGAAAACCATGTGCACATGCATGAGGTTGATTTCAATGCTGGTTTAGAAGCTTTTCCTAATTCAGAAAAAGTTAAAGTTGTTGTCGAGATCTTTGACCTACTGGAAGTGCATTCATGAATCGCACAGTATCAACTTGTATAAAGAGAATTTTCTTTATAACTATTATTATGTATGCTATTACTTGAGAAAAGTTTCCCCTCCATTCAAAACTATGTGTCTCATATATCATCAGGGAATTTTTAACCGTACAGTTTGCTAACAACTAGTCAGAAGAAGAATAGTCCCACCAACTCTTCGTAATGTTTTAACATCTTTTTCCATTGGACCTAGTAGCACAAGGATACAATGACAATAATACCTGTCTTCTTTATTTCTTTTTTCTACAAGGACTTATACACACCACGAGTTGTCTCAAACCTTAGAAAGATAAGAATTATTCATTTTCCTCGTATAAAAATAGTTAAACAGATTTATTGACAATAAGCAATGAAAACTCCTATAAACGAAACTGACTATTAAAATATTTGTGCCTGACGCTGCAAAACTAATCCTCATGAGCTTTGTCAACTCCTATAAAGGAAATATACAACTACAATCATTCGACTCATCATCACTCACATGACTGAAAAACTAATCTAATTCTGCTTTTTTTTTTCTTTTTTTCTAAAGGAATTAGATTGATTAGGAAGGACTAGTTTATTTTATATCCATTCATTCTATCATATTTCTGACTTTCTAAATAAATGATTTAAAATACACATGCCAGAAAGTATATCCATTAAATACAATACGAGATATTTATTTTCATACAAAAATTTATCCATCGAGTAATTATATTTGTATCATCTCAACGAGATATTATCACATGCATATAATGTACCTTGTTGGAAGCATTGGGTAGTCTAGAGTCTAGAGTCTAGACCTTCTTGGAAGCATTTCGTGCATGAGCTTTAAGATATTCTAGAAAATTATGCACGTACGTGTCTTGCTTCTTTCTATCTCCAAACAACGGCTTCAACTCCTTAGCTTTGTCTCTGTAAATCTTCCCCTCCTCCATCTCTATCACCAACTTGAGCGACTCAGCCACCGAGTCACTGGTAAACGACCCGTCTTCCTCGTCCCTCGGAATGCAATACCCAATCTTCCTCTCCTCCAAAAGCCTTGCATTCAACCCTTGGTCATTGGACATGGTCAACAACACAAGAGCTCTACCAAAACTCAACGCCTCCACCACCGAGCTCCAACCGGAGTGACTCAGGAACACCCCAACCGAGTCATGACCCAAAATCTTCAACTGCGGGGCCCAGTTCCTGCAAACCAGTCCACGACCTCCTATCCTCTCCTCAAAACCCTGAGGCAACTTAACCACATGGGTTCTCAACACCCAAATAAACGGCAGCTCGGACAGCTCTAACCCTAGGGCTATTGTAGTAATTTCCTCTTGGCTCGGCATGGCCTCACTTCCAAAAGCCACATACACAACCGATGCTTTCGGTTGCCTGTCCAACCACTCGCTCATTGACCCCCATCTATCATTCTCCTCATGATTTGTAGTGGGGAGTTGACCAACCGGTAAAACCGGTTTCCGGTGAATATCTTGTAATAAGCGCAACCATTCAGGGTCAAATTCCATGCAATCTCTTATTGCAATTACATCACAGCCCCTCATCCCCTCCATGAACCGATAAATATCTGAAACATTGCTTTCGTCGCCGGTAATGGTGTCGAGATAAACTCGATGAACTTCGAACAAATGAAACGCGACGTTGGACGGGAAGGGGACCCACTTGGGCGGGACGGTGTAATCCTCCGGGTTCTTACGATCATCCGGGGATATTTCCGGGGAAGTGGGCCCAACAAAAGCTAAGCATGCTCCGATGAATATGCTAAAGAAGGCACATGGTATGCCAAGGTTACGGGCAGTAGCTGGGGCCCAGTAAGCTGCAAAATCGAAGAGTAGCCAATCTGGGTTGGAAGATTCTAGGAAATGAGTAAGGGGCTGTTGGAGAGCATCGTATACCTTCTTAAGCTTCATAACTTTGTTCTGCGATACGTCTGTGGTGGCCTCCGCGGCTTCTGGGAAGTCGTCATCTACGCTGGGCAACGGGAGCTTGACGAAGGTGATTAACGACGACGAGAGATTCGGAGGGAGCTGCGGGAGACGTTCGATGTTTCTTGGAGTGGAGATGAAGGAGATTTGGTGGCCTTTTTGGGCAATGAGCTTGGCGAGCTCTAGGTATGGGATCATATGGCCAAAGGCTAGCCATGGAAACATTGCTATGTGAAGCTTTTGATCACTGGAATCCATGGTGATCAATAATGTTATCTAGGGCTTTTATTCTTGTTGTGAGTAGAGTCCCTAGCCCTACTTGTATATATACATCCAGCAAGTTACAATTATTGGGCTCAAATAATTGCTCCTCTAAAGTTTTTTTTTGGTGGCCAACATATTTTAGCAAGCTTTTTCTTGAAAATTAAATTTATCACCTCTGAATTAATATTTGTCGGCCAAAAAGGACACCATCCTCCAGCTAATAAAACACGCAAAGAAAAACGAGTTAAATTATGAGCCACACAGCGGACAAAATTGATAGCTATGGCCCCGTAGCAAAATGGGGGATTAATTTGTGTTTCATTTCACAATCAAATGATTCTCATGGCACACAAGGAGTTAACCCCATGGAACAAAAACCACTTTCGAAGTTTTTAAAACTAACTTCACCTAGTGCCTTGGAACCGAATGTAAATTGGTTGAATTGTATTGAATCATAAACCCAATTCCCAATAGAAAATGCATTTCACACACCACCAACTTTGACAAACTATTGGCATATAAAAGATCCACCCCTCCTTGTCAGGTAATTCATCCCTGTTAATAATGCTTTTGGTAGGAACACATAAGAATTTTTACTATAAACCCAGGTGCTTCGGGGGTATTCATCTAGCAGGTCTTATCCAACTATTTTGTCGTCGATTAAGGTAGAAGAAGCCATGTCGATGTGTGTTTGGTTGCCAGGATTGGTTGTGTGCTCGAATATGGGGATGAAGAAGATAAAGTTGTGTTAAATATATCTTTTTTGGTCATTTTATATTAGGATAAATTAATAATTCAATAAATAGTTTGGTAGTATGGTGCACTCAATTAATTTTAGAGTTCATTTAACAGACTCTAAATAAAGGTGAATATTCCATAGCAACAAAACAGAAGATGTTCTTCCTTCTTTAATTTGCAGAGGAGACAACCCAAACCCTAAATCATAAGATTACTAAATAAACCATCAATTATTACAAAAATAACTCATTTTTCAAATAAAAAGTTCAAAACAAAAAGAATTGGTTCCCATTAATAAATTACACAGTCCCACGCTCAATATAGCAAAAGGAAGAAAAGAAACAAGACACTCAATAACGTAAACTATTCTATCAGGCTTTGTACACCGTACATCACTATTGTGTTTTCACTTTCCAGGCAAAACAACCACTCAATAAGATAAGACTGAATAATGCAAGCATTCAGTGATGTGTCATGTGTCATACAATGCGCATCTTTATTGTCCATTCATGTAACAAATAACAACAAAAATGTCAAAACAAGACACAGCGAGCCAACAGGGTCTAACCCAGTGAAAAAGGACTTGATTCGTAGACTAGTGGTTTTAGGTTCGAATCTGCATGGCACATTGGTAGTGTATGTTTGAGAAACTCCTCTCCCCCTTGTAATTTTTAGACTATCGCTTTTATTCAAAAATAATAATAATAATAATAATAAACAAGACAGAAAGAAGGGAAAAAGGCAGGGAAAGAGTTTTATTATAGGGTTAATCGTTTTATTAGTCCCCCAACTTTGACCGAATTTGCATTTGAGTACCTTAATTTTCAAAATGGTACCCACGGTCCTTCAACTTTAGTTTCATTTAGATTACTAGTCTCACCGTTACTTCTGTCAATTTTTTCGTTACATTTAGGGGTATATGGGTCTTTTCAGGTTGGTTTTGAGGGACAAAAATAGACTTTTACTCTTTTAGATTCTCTTATACGAGTATAATTTGCCAAAGGTACAAACCAAAGAAGAGCGAAAAAGCTGAAGAGTAAAAAGACGAAGCTTTCAGACAAAAGGGTTTCAGCTAAAGCTTTCAGACAAAAGCCAAAAGGCTGAAGAATTGGCTGACAAGTTTGAGTTGATTTTGTTTGGGTCATTGTTTATTAAGGTCGTCTAGGTCGATATGTGTTGGTTATCTCATTGTGGGGTCGATAGGTGTTGTCAACAACTTTGATGGAGTTTGAATTCAGGACGTCTGGAGACCACCCCCCCCAAAAAAATATACGGTATGCGATGCTAATGGCAATACAAGAATTGCTTTTTGTTGTTTTGGAATTCTATTTGTGTCTGCTCGAATTGTGCAGCAATTAGGGCTGGACACGGTAAATTAGAACTTGAACTGAAAATAAAGACCGGTTCGGTCTGGCCCGGTTTTGACAAAAATCCACAAGTAAAACCGAACCAATCCAGACTTGCAGGATCCGGTTCGATTCCCGATTCTCACGTTTTGGGCTTGTTGTAATGCCCATTTTAGTTTTTTGGGTATTTAAGCTTCAAGCCCATCTTATTTTTAAAAATTTTGGGCTTAAACATCAGAATTGGCCCAATTCACATATTGAAACAACCACTATTCTTTGACAAAAATAATAAAACAATCCAATATTGAATTTAAAATTACAACCCAACAACAAAATACATACACTAAAACAAATTAAATTACAAACAAATTTAAAATTATAATTGCACTCTTTTGTTCTTTTGTTGCTACTTCTACAGGGCTTCAATTGAAAGAACAATTCAATTTTCTGCAACATCTTCATTTTTAACTCTACTTCCGTCTTCCGTCTTCCTTTTTATCCATGCGGCTTCAATACTTGTTCCAAAGAGCAACAGGTTGTCAACTGTTGCAATTTCATTTTCTTTTCCTAAATTACTCAAATGGTCCTTAAACTTGTACCCGATTTACATTTTGGTCCCTCAATTAAATTATTAGTCCAAATGGTCCATTAACTATATATTAATCGCTCTATTGGTCCTACCATTTAATTTTCTATTAGATTTAACCAAATTTTACGGTAAATATGACTTTTCATAATTAACAAATAAAAATAGGATTAAAATAAATACAAAATTAAAAAAAATTAAAGAAAAGGAGAAACTAAGAACAGACCCAGAACTCACCCCCCCCCCCCCCCCCCCCCCCCCCTCTTCATCCTCTTTCCTTCGCTTCTCTCCTCTCCATTCTCCCAAGAATCTCAGAATCTTCAGCAAGAATAGAGTCATGTGATTGGTGAGATTAAATAGCGTTGTAAGCCAGCGCCCAGGAGGCACATTAGGTTTACCACCGCCTTTTTTGCCCAGCTTGGAAATAGCCAACACAACCTTCTCGAAGGCCTCAGTGTTCAAAGTGTCCCCATCACCCACTGCCCCAAAATCAGTCAAATTGAAAGCCACATGTCTCAGTTTTGGCATGGGTCTCACTGGAACTCGCTTAAATATTGAAAACCCATCTACAATATTCCTCAGCCACACAAAAACTGATGCAAATGCCCCGATCCAAAGCACAGTGAAGACGGTTTTGTGCGACGACAAGAAGGTCGAGAACCAGTGCTTCAAGTCTAGCCTTTGGTGGTGGAACCACCCGAGTGGTAAGGTCTCCACCATGGTCAATTAGACTGTCCAACAATGTAAAGCAATGATCTTTTTCACAGATGAACTATTGGGTTGGGCCGATTTGATGCAGAAAATCGAATGGAGCTGTAGATGGGTGGTTGGGGAAGTCGGGGTGTTTGATTTTTGATAGCATGGAAATTGTGGTGAGACGTTAATGTTGTTGGCAATCAGAGTCAGGTGGGTTTGTTTGGACAATTTAATCATTTATGGGACAATTTATGGGACAGTAATTTGATCATTTATGGGACAATGTTTGCAAATACAAACTGCCCAGCAATCTTGGTGGAGAGGAGTTGATGCCCCACGCTACCCAGCTGTCAGATTGGGAAAACGAAGAAGAAGAAGAAATTTGACAAAGAAGAAGAAGAAGAAACCCAATTGTTAGATTGGAAGGAGGAAGAAGAAGAGAGAGAGTTGATGGACGAAATGACCAATTTGCCCTCACATTTAACGGAAATATTGACAGAATGTAACGTTAGGACAAATGGAGCAAATAATATAAAGTTAATGGACAATTGCACTAATAATTTAATTGAGGGACCAAAATGTAAATCGGGTATAAGTTTGATGACCATTTGAGTAATTTACCCTAATAATGAATGAATGAACTCCAGCCTAAAGTTTACAACAACGTTCAAAGAATTAGATGCCACTCAGGAATGATATCTGGCATAAAGAACACTTCTGTCAAAACAAAATAGGAAAAATCAGAAGAAAAAAAAATCAAATCTCAATAACAACATCAGCACAAAATCACAGAAAATATCAATACCCATATGAGAAGAAATCAAAAGTAAAATAAAAGCATCAAAAGAAACACAAATCGTTGAGAAAAAAAAATACGGATCTGTACAAGGGATTAGAGAGAGAAAAAGACGCTGACCTGCTTTGGATTGAAAGAAGAGAGAGGCAGACACGGTGGCGTTGGGCTAAGAGACTGCAAAGAGCGATGGCAATGAGTGAAAATAAGAAGAAAGAAGGAAAAAAAAAAGGGAAGAAAGAGTCGGCAGCACAAAGGAGAGAAAAGAAGAAGAAGAAAAAAAAAAGTCGGCAACCGGAGGAGAGAAGAAGAAGAATTTTGGAAAGAGAGATGATGGAGGGGATGGCTAGGGTATATGAGAAATGGTTGAGGGAGTGGTACAAATGAATATAAAGAGTTGGGCTTGGTTAAGAAATAGAGTTGGGCCTGCTGAGATGGTTAAGAAATGGAGTTTGGCCTATTTATTTATTTGACTTTTGGACTTGGGCTTGGTATGGAAAGGTCTAACAATATAATTATATATTAAAATTATATATATTTTAATTTGACCGGTCCGATTCGATCCAGTCTGGTTTTTGAAGGCATAGAACCGAAACCATAATCGATCCAAACCGGTCCCGTTCAGTTTTTGACTGGTTGTTGACTTTTTGGTCAACTCGACAACATTGAACGCATACCTTGTGTTTTGGTCAGACATTGAATGCATACTTGGTCCTACTATCCATTGTTGAATTTAAGGGTTTGTGGTTCTACTGGTATGATTTGTGTCAATTAATTGCACAGTTGCACACATTTGATAGGGTTTAGTGTGATTTGTCCTTATTTAGGTGAGCAGAGATTTTAAAAATTGGTGTTGAATATATTGAACTAAGATTACTGTTTCATTTGCAAATAAGGGTGAGTTCTGCACTTTGGAAATTCACCATAGGGGTGTTGTACAAGATGTGGTGTATAAGGGGGGGACATTGTGCTATTTGGACAACTGTGTGGATGATTATCTATCACTCTTGGATTTAAGGAAAATAGGTATAGCGTTAGGATATGAAGTGGACCTAACTAAGAAGGAGATAGGTTTGCAAATATATTGTAAGATGTATGACAGCAATGCTGAAACTAATATAAAGCTCATTAACAATGACAATGTTATATGTGACATGGTTGGCTGCATAACAAGTAACAGAGTGTTAGTGTTATAAACTAACAAAAAAAAACAAGTGAAAAGACATGGACTCAAACATCTGTGGAATGGCTTAGTTTGCAGAATGAAGAATACAACTATGGGAGATTTAATGAAGACCAAATGAAGGAGGTTAATAAGGCTTTAGATATTGTTAAGCACGTTGTTTCGCTTAGAGGTTGTGAAGATGTAGTTGATGAAGAAAAAGAAGAGTTAGAGTTTGTGGATAGTGATTACGAGTTTAGTGAAGATGATGAGGCAAACAAAGGTTGTAATGTAGACATCAATATGCCTTGTGATGAAGAATTGAATGTTGAGACTGAAACACAAGGGCCAGGAGAGATTTCTGATGATGGGGCAGATTCTGATACTTTATATTCTGATGGGAACACCTCAGATGATGAGAATACCAGTCGACATGTAACAAAAAAGCAGAGGATTTGCCTACCAAAGTTCAAGCAATATAGGAGAGCTATTGACCTTAAAAATCCAGAGTTTCATTTAGGGATGAATTTGCAAATCGAGAGCACTTGAAAGAAGCAATAAAGGAGTATGCCATTGTAAACAGCAAGTTGTTGAAATTTGATAAAAATGACAAGAGAAGGGTGAAGGTCATGTGTTGTGGATCTGGGAACTGTGCATTTGTTCTTTATGCATCTAAGATTGATAAAGAGGAATCCACTTTTGTAATAAAGGCTATACATGCTAAACATACATGTGGCAGAGTAGACAGGTTGAGATATGCTAATTCAACATGGATTTCAGAAAGATTTTGTGATAAGATGAGGAGAAATCCTAATTGGATTGTGGGGCAACTTCAAGATGAGGTGAGAGAACACTATACAATGAATGTTACACAGAACCAAGTGTATAGGGCCAAAAAATTGGCTAAGAAGGTCATTCAAGGTTTGTACAAGGAACAATACAAGAGATAAAATGATTATGCAGAGCAAATTAAGAATACCAACCCTGGAAATATTGTGATAATTAAAACTGAACTAGCAGGTGATGATGCATTGTTTAAACGGATTTATATTTGTTTAGCTGGTTCTAAAAAAAGGTTTCTTAGAAGGGTGTAGGCCTGTTGTAGGTGGTGATGGGTGCCATTTAAAAGGACCCTGCTCAGGGCAAATCTTAACTGCAGTTAGTGTTGATGGGAACAATGGTATGTTCCCATTGGCCTATGCTATAGTTGAAATAGAAAGGAAAAGTAGTTGGATATGGTTTCTAGAACTCTTAATTGCAGACTTGGGGATCCAAAATGGTTTGGCATGGGTGTTTATAAGTGATAAACATAAAGGGCTAATTCCTGCTATGCAAATAGTTTTACCAAATACTAAGCATAGAATGTGCGTGAGACATACACAGGACTTGCTCTAAAACATTTGCTATGGGCTGCTGTGAGGGCAACCACATTGCCTTGGTGGGAAGCAGAGATGGATAATATGAAGGACGATCCAGATGCTTGGGGGTGGCTAATTGAGAGGCCTGCAAAAAATTGGTCAATATCTCATTTTGCAACACACTATAAGTGTGATTTATTGTTAAATAACCGATGTGAAAGCTTCAATGCAGCCATTATTGATGCAAGGGATAAGCTAATCCTAACATACCTTGAGAGAATAAGGATGTATATTATGATTAGGATGGCTAATAGAATGGCATCTTGTCAACATTGAAGGTATATTGTTGGTCCTAGAATCCTCAACAAAATAGAGAAAAATAAGTTGGCATCAAGTCAATGCATACCAAGGTTAGCTGGGGAGAAGAAATATCAAATAAGTCATATGTCTGGGGGAGAATTTGTTGTAGATCTAAGAGCAAAGACTTGCTCTTGTAGAAGATGGGACTTATGTGGGATTCCTTGCCCATATGCAATTTCTACTATTTTCCAAAGAAATGAAGACAGAGAGGATTATGTGGATAAATTGTACAAGAAAAAGGCTTACTTAAAAACATATGGCCTTATCATTGGACATGTTCCTTCCATTGACCAATGGCCAAAGAGTAGTTTACCTGCAATTAAGCCTCCCCACTTCATATTCCAACCTGGAAGGCCAAGAAAGGTGAGGACAAAAGCAACAGGGGATGTGGAAATATCAGCTCTAGTACCGCCAAATCCAAAACCACCGAACTGGAAACCATAACCTACAAGGCTCAGACGAATCCTTATCAAGATTCGATGCACAAGATGTAGTCAAGAAGGACACACAGAAGAGGATGTGAAAGGGTCCAACAGGTAAAAGCTGCCTTAAGATTTCTTGCCTTGATGTTATGACCTAAAACCTAACCTAACCTAATTTTTTAATGATTCCATATGCAAGCTAAAAAAAGCCAAGCTCCAGCTCCCCAAGGGCAAGTCAAAGCTCCAGCTCCCCAAAGGCAAGCCCAAGCTCCAGCTCCCCAACCCCAACCCCAACTAGTAAGTGATATTGAACCAGGTCTTATTTGTCATTCAATATCCTCAATATTTATAACTGAAATTGAAACTTTACTTGTAGGTGGCAGCAACTAGGGGTGGTAGAGGTAGAGGGAGAATGAGAGGCTTAGGAAGATCATCATCTCAACCTCAAGCCCAAGCCCAAGCCCCAGTCCAAGTCAAAGCCCAAGGCCAAACTGAAGCCTTTTTTGCAAATATCCAAGCAAGGGCAGTAATTTGACCAAATCAAATGGCCCAAGATGTAAGTGATATTTGAAGATGTTGGTTTGATATTCACATGTTCTTATGTCATTTGTATACCATCAATCACATATGTGAACATTTGCTTGTAGGTGGCAGCAACTAGGGGTGGTACAAGTAGAGGGAGAATGAAAGTCTTAGGAAGATCATCATCTCAACCTCAACCTCATGCATTACCTCCAAATATCCAAGGAAGTGCACCAATTTGACCAAGGAAGTGCACCAATTGCATCAACTAGGGGTGGTAAAGGGAGAGGGAGAATGAGAGGCTTTGGAAGATCATCATCTCAACCAATGAGCAAAGGGAGAGTCACTGGAATAACCAATGGTGCATCATATTCATAGCCACCAAACAAGTTACCAATGAGAAGAAGATGTATTACAAGATGAATGGTGTTTTGTAACTGTTTTAGGGATACCTTTTGAGACTTAAACTATGTTCTGACTGCTATTTTTGGGATACCTTTTGAGACTTAAACATGGCTCTTTTGGGGATTAAGTGTGTTTTGTACTCTTTTTGAGTAACAAGTTATCATTTTGGAACATGTGGTGGATCTGGGGATGTATTAAACATGTTATATGATTGCACTTTTGCAGAAAAGGCTCTATCTGTGAACATTTGAATTTGTAGTGAATGTAAGTATCACTCTTCTGCTTCTGTGAAAGGTTGCTCTACTATTTCATGTGCATTTGTATGCCTTAATTTTAACAAGTCTTGTATGCAAATTGAGGTCAATGAATCTGGAATTACAAGATTGCAAATAACCAAAGTCTTCAAATTCCATACATAACTAATAACATTACAAGATTGCGTAACTAATTTTGGGAATTACATTAGCTCCAAAATGGTTTTCACTGCCCTTACTCCCATACATTTTCCAGACATGTTCAACACCATGATGATCATCATCACAATGACCATAAATAAAACACAAGTGCCCATACTCATCCTCATTATCTTCGTCGATGCCTCATCATATTGTCTTCCAGCAAAAGTCTAAGCCTTCTGTTGTCTTTGACTGCATAATCCAACTCCTTATTTTCTTCAATTATGCCCTCCATTTCCAAGTTTCGAGCTTCTAAGGATTGAAGTGTGTTGACCACAACATTTTTTCTCTCTTCTGTCTCCCTCATTACAGTCTCCATCATTCTTGTTCTTCTAAGCAGACCAGGCACCACATTCTTCCCGCTTGTACATGTCTCCTTGTTCAACCACCTAAAATAATGCTCTCCAACTCTGTTTTTCTACTTCATTATTATCAAATTCTTCATCAGTACAAAATCTGAACATAATACCAATTTTGTGCATAAACCCAGAAATCTAAAATTGTTTACATGGTTGTTGTCACAAGCCTCGAAGCGTCTTCCTGGATTCATGTATGTCCATGAAGTCCTCAATTTGATCAAACTCCCAAAATGGCAATACTTCACCGATTTGGGGCTTTGGTTAGATACCATTGATGATGTTTGAGACATATCACTTGCTATCACTTGCCATCCTTTGAAACTAATCTGCTCTCCAAGCTTCCAAACTTGACGATTCCAACTTTTACTCAGCCAATATGCAAGTTGCAGAAGCGGATAGCAAATTTTGGTTCTTTAGGTTTTCGGCGACAGGCTCTCGAATGCCTATTTCATAGGGAAGGCAAGTTGCAGAAGGGGAATAATAAAACCAACCTTAAAAGACCCATCTACCCCTAAATTTAACGAAAAAAATTGACAAAAGTAACGGTGGTACTAGAAATCCAAACGAAACTAAAGTTGAAGGACCATGGGTACCATTTTGGAAATTGAGGTACTCAAATGCAAATCCGATCAAAGTTGGGAGACTAATAAAATGATTAACCCTTTATTATATGAGTAGTTTGCTTTGTTTGGGGTCCCCACCCTCTCCTCCACTAAAATAAATAAATTCACAAAAGAAATAAAAAGGGATTCAAACTTAGACCTACTCTAATCCTAACCACACTTGATTCAAACAAATTTACTTCATGAGAAATGGAAGTATGTGTGTGGCCTCTTTTCTTTTTTTCCTTTATATCATTACTCAAGAGAACATTGTACATTCGAATCAATGAGCCTCCAACACAAGATACCAGTATAGTATTTTGCAAGAGGGTAATTCATGGATATGAAAATAGTTAAACAGATTTATTGTGTTAAAAAATATACATATTACAGACTATTGAAGACCTGATAAAATTGTTAAAGCTAAAAGAAACTATTTAGTGTCATCAAACTATATATGCATCAAGCATGGGTTAGCATACAAAATTTAGCGAGTTTTTACAACAAATGTGAGAGTGCGAGGGTCAGAACAGGTAACAAGCGTACATGTTGTGTATGCTGATTGTTATTTACTTAAGGGAGAGGTCAGCCTATTTTCGTCTGAATCATGTTTTGATGAAGCATCTCCACCCATCAATTCCTGGAATCCTTCCACCTTCACTGGTGGAGCCCTAAGAACACCAGCGTTCCTGCACACATGAGAAAGTTCCAGAAATTCAGTGAACCATTACTGAAACGGATTATCTGTATTTTTATTATTCTTCCTTCAGATTTTTCCTTACTGTGCTTGCATTTGAGGAATTTGTCTAAATTGATTGCCTGACTGAGGATGGACATTTGGCATTGTAAGATTCGACATTGCAGGGATATGCTGCTGCCTGAACATCGGGAGATTTCTGTTGTTCAAACCATAGAAGGCATTACCATCCATGGGTAACTCTGATGGGGCTTCAATCTTGACCTGTACCATTGGCCTGTCCTTATCCATATCCATACCAGCACGAGGAGTCGATGGTTGTCGTCTTCGCATTCTTTCTAACGGCTGCTGTTGCTGAAAAGGCACATTTTTAGAAAGCGCAACTTGTTGCATCTGCGGAAGCATTTGTCTAGACATCTGTAGGTTCACCAAACAATGTAAGAAAATAACCATTATTAATAATGTCATACTATGCAAACATCCCTTTTGGAAAGTACAAAACCCCTACAACTTCATCAACTTCAGAAGCTATTTCACAAACTGGAGAAAAGATATATGACTCCCACAAGTTACCCATTACCTATCCATAAATCAATTATTACAAGAATCCAGATCAAAATGTAACCAATTATAAATGAAACAATATAAGTTATCCATACTTGCTGGGGTAGTCGAATGGGATTCTGGTGCTGTGGCTGCAATTGTGACTGGATTCCATAAATTTGCTGCTGAGTTTGTTGGAAATTCCTGGAGCCATCTTTGACTTGCTCCATTAGAGGGCCAAAATTACTTGTGAGGAAAAAAAGCCGCGTAAGTAATTGATACACTAGAAACTTGCATTATTAAATCTTATTAATTTAAAAAGAATACACTCGCACAAACACAATACAATGTTCATAATGGAAGTGAAGAGTTTAAAATTGGATGTCAAAACCTAATGTCCTTTATTTCCCTCGGTCAGCATTACGGACAAGCCCATTCAAGTTATGCATAATGTGGCCTTTCACTCAAGTGCTCAAAAGATATAAGGACCTTTAAGCTTTACAGGAAGTCTTCAATCACGACACTATTTAGGTTTGTCAGTTCAGTATCCTGGAGATTAGTTCGACTCAAATCATATTTATTGACTGCTAAGGTGAGTGTCAGCATCAAAATCTCAAAGAGAATACTCTTAAAGTGGAAATGAATACACCCTCTCTGGGAAACCATGCTCTGTTAGGAAGAGCACTGAAGGATTAAAGCTTGGCCCCAAAATCCTGATGAGAACAATTCGACATCCAATACAGCTATTACATATCAGCTAGCAACAGTTCATTTAATGATTAATTCAGAGGTTACGATGTAAAACTATATTCATGAAAATTGCAATCACAACTTGTAGGTCTCTACCCAATATCATGAGTGCATGATGTATGGTAAAAACATAATCGGTGCAAATAATGTTGATCAATAATTTTCCTCTTCTGTTTCTTCTGACTTGGAAAAATTCATACCAGGATAAGTAATAGCTTATAATTAAATTACAAGGTGCAAGTCCAACAATGCAACAATAATTTATAAGGAAACTAAAATCAGATAAGATCAATTTCAAAAACAAAAATGAAAAATAAACCTTGGATCCAAAAACTCACCTATAGCCTATTGTTTGAAGGAACATCTTCAGTAGTTCAATGGCCGAACACTGCTTTCTGTAACTATCAGTAAGAACTTTCAAGCTGCCACCCAATTTACTGATATGACAGCTTAGCATCTGAGAGAAAACATCAATTGGAACTTGTGTAGCACTTTCAAACCCAATACTTGTCAACATCCTGGCTATTACCATTTGAGATAACTGTGTCGCTTGTTCCTTACTAAGACATTTTTTGTTCCCTCCAGAGCCATTTTTTCCACGATGTAAGATTCCTCCTTGTTCCATGCTAAGGTATTCAGGCCTGATACCAAGCCTCTCAAGCATAACGGGACTCCTAGTCATAATCTGAGGCAACATATCAAGAACTCCATAACATTCCACTTTCTGGTTGTCTTCCTCTCTATTCAAGGGTGGAAGTGCACTATCAGGAACACAGTTGAAGGTAAACATTGTTTCTGGGAAAAAATATATTTGGCTATCCACTGAGTTACTACCTTCTAAAACAGAATTTGGGTTCATGTGTGATACATTTTCTAATATGGGGTTTCCATATCCCATATACTGATCTTCCTTGAAAGCTAGACGTCTTTTCTTATGCCTCTCAAGAAGCTTAAGATAAGCAGACATCTCCTCTGGGGTACGTTTCTCTGATTCTCGATCAGCTGATGACAACCTATACGGTTTGCTAATTCTATATCTCTCCATAAACTGATTATACCATGTTTCAGGCAGCTCGTCATTTTTAAATCTTGATGGTTTATTATCAATATCAGATTCTCCATATCTTGATCCAACACCAAAAGCTGCTTTTGATTGAATCTGCAGGCACAGACATAAACTAATAATCATATAACAGCCCTCCACAGTTTCTATGCTTAAATTTTTTTGCTCAAGTTTCCGGCCACACTTTTCCATGAAAGGTTTATGAATTCAGTACTTCAGTTCAATTTATAAATGAAATTCACTAGGTTGGAATAGAATATTAGATTCAAGAATTCAATACATGTGCAGGTCACCACTTAAAAGGTTTGGCCAACGGAAATGGGGCAATTTTCCAAATGTAGAAAAGCTCACCAGTTATGCACCCAAGAGAATTCCAGGAGATGATATCTCAGGACTTGTTTGTTTATAACCCAATTTTATTGAATTCTCAGTAACCAACTATAATAAACCAAAAAAACAAAAAACAAAATGCATAACTCAAAAAATTCATTCATATCACAACTCAAATGCATAATGAAATCCACGAAAACTGGAAAATCATACCTTGGACGACACCGAAGGGTCACGCTGTTGAACTTGAACCCCGTCTTGGGACGAATTCTCTAGAGTGAAGTAGACGTCGTCCGGGTGCAACTGCAAATCTGAAACGACGAAAAAATTGAAGCGATCAGAAACCATGAAACTAAGCAGAAAGGAAAGCAATTAAGAGACTGAGACACACTCACAGTTGGGATTGAGCTTGGAAACAGCGAGCGAAGAGGAAGAGGAAGAAGAAGAGGAATTGGAATGGGGGCGAAGGAAGAGGGAGACGCAGGCCTTGTCGAAGAGAAGAGCTCGAGCGCGGAGTTGGAGATGGAGGTGAGCCCTAGATTTGGAGTCCATGAAAGCTTCCCAGGTTGAAGGTGAGTTGAGGAAGGGAGCGAAGTTGGCGTAGGTGGATTCGCCGAGCCACAAGCGCCAGACGTTGCAGGACTCGAGTTTACGGGCGAGCTCGAATCCACGACCGTCGTCCCCAAGCAGAGCCATTTTGGGAAAGGAGGAAGGAGGGGCGACTTGGATTTTTTATTTTTGTCTGGGAATTTAATTTCTGGGTTTTCGGATTTTGGGGGTCAAGTTTTTGGGAAGAATTTTTAATTAAAATTTTGGGTTATTTGTAGTAATGATCCATCAACTATACTCAAAGTTACATTTTGGCCACTCAACTCAAATATTAGTTGCAAATGTCACTCAATTAAGTGTTATGTTGTACCATTAGTCTCTACGGTCAAGTCTGTGACTTTTTCTGTTTAAAATGATTACGTGACAAGCATCTCTTAGATTATTGATGGGGAAATGTGACTTTTTAGTTAGATTATTTGTAGCAATGATCCCTCAACTATATTCGGAGTTGCATTTTGGTCACTCAACTCCAAAAAATAGTTATAAAAGTCACTCAATTAGGTGTTGTGTTGCATCATTAGTCCCTACTGTTAGAGAGACTTGAAGGTAAGGACTAATGGTGCAACACAACACCTAATTGAGTGACCTCTGCAACTAATATTTGAGTTGAGTGACCAAAATGTAACTCCGAGTATAGTTGAAGGACCATTGCTACAAATAACCCTAAAAAAAAAAAAAAAAAAAAAAAGGTGAATT